TTTTTTTTTTTTTTTTTTGATGTTGTTGCAGTTTGGCTGGGGCCGGATTCAAACCCACCACCCTCAGTACTAGGGGGCCAGTGCCCTACTCACTGAGCCACAGAGCTGCCCCTCCCCCCCCTTTTTTAAACAGTCTCACTTGGTAGACTCACTGTAGTACCTCACAGCAACCTCACAAACTCTTGGGTTCAAGTGATACTTTTGTCTCAGCTTCCCAAGTAGCTTGTGATTATAGGCCCCCCACTACAACAGGTGTCTTGTTCTGGCTCAGGCTGATCTGAAGCCTCTGAGGTCAAGCAGTCCACCCACCTCAGACTCCCAAGTGTTGGGATTATAGGTGTGAGCCACCCTGCCCAGCCTAACATTCTTATTTTTCCATATTTCATATCTCATATCAGAATGCTTCCTATGATTGAGTCATAGGCTGGTAATGGTAGCTCATGCCTGCGATCTCAGCACTTTTGGGGGTCAAGAGTTCTAGACCAGCCTGAGCACATAACAAGACCCCGTCATACAGAAATGTTTATTTTTCCTCCCCTCTCCTTTCTTATCCCTCCCTCTATCTTGTGACAGTCTCATTCTGTTCCCCCAATTTGGAGTGCTGTGTTTTCAGTTTAGCTCACAGCAGTCTCAAACTCCTGACCTCAGGCAGTTCCTGCCCTAGCACTCCCAAGAATGTTGGGATTATAGGTATGAACCCTCATGTCTGACCACAAAAGAAAAGGTTTTACAAGCCCAGTCATCAAAAATCTTTTTTTTTTTTTTTGAGACAGAGCCTCAAGCTGTTTCACTGGGTAGAGTGCAGTGGCATCACAGCTCACAGCTCACAGCAACCTCCAACTCCTGGGCTCAAGCGAGTCTCCTGCCTCCGCTTCCCAAGTAGCTGGGACCACAGGCGCCCACCACAACCCCTGGCTATTTTTGGTTGTAGCCATCATTGTTGTTTGGCGGGCCCAGGCTGGATTCGAACCCACCACCTTAGGTGTATGTGGCTGGCGCCCTAGCCACTTGAGCCACAGGCACCGAGCCATCAAAAAACTTAAATAGCATTCCTAAATTGATTTTATTATGGTGAAATATATATAGCATAAAACTATTTTAACTATTTTTATATGTTCAGTTCCATTAATTACATTCACAGCATCGTAAATCATGACCACTGTCCATCTCTAAGCTTTTTTTTTGTCCTGTGGAAAGCTGTAACTCGCCTTTTTCCTTTGGTGCTTGGTAACCTTTAATCTACTTTCTATCTCTGTATATTTGCCAATTTTCAATGTCTTATGTTAATAGCTTCATACAATGCTTATCCTTTCAGTGGTTGGGTTAGTAACTTAATATAATATTTTAATTTCTCTAATGTTTGTCGTACTTTTTATTGAGCTACGGGCGCCCAGCCTTTGACGTAGTCTTCATTAAGCAAACTTGAGATGTGAATGGATGTTATTTAGTTTAAACTGAATTTGTATTAAAGTTTTTTTTTTTTTTCTT